AGGTTCACTGGTATCCCACATTTTATATTTACCCATAAAAATCTGTCTTTCTGGAGATAATAAACTTCACTTATGTTTTCTTAGAACCAGTGTGTTTTGAGTGAAGTGGCTGGAAAAATCTAAGCTCTATAGTTAGGACAAGAGGAAGCTGCATATCAAATTGGGAGGTCCTGGCTCTTACTGTTTAGGAGGAGTTTGTGAACAAACGGACTCACAGACAGACGCACATTTCTAAAATACAGAGTAAGCTATATAGGCTGGTGCAATCAGACCATCTCCAGGAGCTCCGGTAGTTGTCCGGGGTGGCTAAGCATGGGGCACTGATGGGGGGCTAGTTCTGCCACCTACGGGTGTGGGCCGGTGGAACAAGAGCTACTCATTGTTTCAATGAGAGCTGGACTGGAACATAGAATCCCCTCCCCCCCTTTTTAAAGTTTTTATCTGAACTAAAAAGTTTCCTTTTCATCCATTTTTAGGTGAGTTTTCATAGAAAATGGATCCATTTTTCTCTGAAAGCTCCGCCACAGAAGTGGGGTCCAGATGCAGCTTCCTGGATCCCCAAAAGAAATTGGCGACTTTTCATCTGCCTCCCCCTCGTATCATAAATGATGCTGGCACTGACAGAGGCTATGGCTGCTCCCTGGGTGTGGAAAGGCCCAAACCTCCTGACGAGTGTCTGACTGGGTTATTGGGGACATCAGCTATTCCAGCCAGCCTTCCCTTCTCTGCAGCCCCGTCCTTCCTGGACGATGCCACTTCAGCAGATCCTGGGGGCAGTGGCTGCTATGACTGGCCCTGGCAGCACATCTCTGACCAGCCTGTGCTAGCAGGGAGCTGGAGAAGGTCCTAGAGGAGCTGTGGAGGTCCAGAGATTGTGGGGAGGTGGACCTAGCTACTTGCAGATCCCTGAGATCTGTGCCTATATTTGGGGATCCCTGGATCCTGGGTCCCCCTTTTCATTCCTTAGAGGGAAGGGAAGGGACCTCCCTTCCTGGAATGATGCAAGGGCACTATCCATGTACGATCTTGTGGAATCTCCTCTGGTCTGTACCCTGGGGCTATGTCTAGACTGGCATGATTTTCTGCAAATGCTTTTAACGGAAAAGTTTTCCGTTAAAAGCATTTGCGGAAAAAAGCATCCGTGGCCAATCTAGACACGTTTTTGCGCAAAAAAGCCCCGATTGCCATTTTCGCCATCGGGGCTTTTTTGCACAAAACAAATCTGAGCTGTCTACACTGGCCCTTTTGCGCAAAAGTTTTGCGCAAAAGGACTTTTGCCTGAATGGGAGCAGCATAGTATTTCCGCAAGAAGCACTGATTTCTCACAATAGGAAGTCAGTGTTCTTGCGAAAATTCAAGCGACCAGTGTAGACAATTGGCAAGTTTTTCCGCAAAAGCAGCTGATTTTGCGGAAAAACTTGCCAGTCTAGACACAGCCTGGGTGTGTAATACAGAAAAGAGGCTGCTGGGCAGAAATCGGCTTCTATATTATTATTACTGGTATTCCCTTTTATTTCATTTCCACAAGATCACAGCCGTGACAGCCTCATTGTTACTGCTCAGCCACCCGCCTGGGAGCCATGTCAGTAGCGGGAAACATACCAATGGATTCCAGGACTGGAGCCTGCAGCAGGGTTAGCGCAGCAGTCCTGTGGTTAAGGTCACCCCCATCCCCTGGGATTTGGCCTCCTGCTGTTTGCCATTGGCTGCGGTGGGGGTTAAAGCTGGTGCACATGAAGCCAAGCAGCTGAGGTTCCCTGATGGCCAAGTGGCCCCAAGGGAAGGTACAAACATGCTGCATAAAGGCAGTTGCCTCCTTGTCTGAACACACGCTGCCTGCTGCCCGTGCAACCTCTCCAATGACTCCTTGCCTTTTAGGGTGAAGACCTCTGGTGCCAGCGGCTCCCTTCTAGCAGGAACTGGGTACGTGGGCAGGTTTCACTGTCTGTAACATGCCAAGTGCAAGGTGAAGGCTGCAGGCTGTTTGCATTGGCAGCTGTTCTGTGCAGCGGCAGAGGACTCAGCTGGGCTGTCGGGGTGACTCAGTGTTGGGGCTGGAGGGCAGGCAGCGCTAGGAAGCTTGAATACCCCTTCGCTACATGTGCTCTCCAGTGGGGTTGCTCAAGCTACCCAGAAATCTGAGCTTGGAATGTTAAGCCCCCGATGTCCCGAGTCGGGATTTTCAAGGAGTCCCGGTTCTAGAGGTGCCGTGGCCTGATCCTGAACCTACCAGGGGCTGAACAAAGGGAACGCCTCAGAATATCATTAAGCAGTTTCTAAGTCGCCTCTGGTGTATTTGCGCCTGAGCATTTGACCTGACAATGGTGCCAAGGTTTTCCCTTCCCTGTCCAGAGAGATGAAGGCAGGAATACAGCGCTGCCTTGCTCTGTGGTAACAGGCCCGCCTGGGCCGGTTTCTGTTTCAGGACCAGCTAATGGCTCTAGAATCTCTCCCCTATAGACACCCCCTCAGAGTTAAATGGTGACAGGAATCTCTGCCCTTCTCTGGGCTCTGAGGGTTTTAAATATCCCGGGCTTCATTTCCATGTTCCCGGGCGCCGCCATTTTTAAATCCCCCTTAGTCCGAACTCCGTGCCCGCGGCTACACGCGGCACAGAGTAGGTAGTTCGAATTAAAGATCCTAATTCGAACTACCGTTACTCCTCATTCCATGGTTCCTCATTCCATATGCCCTAATTACCCTACCTAGCTCGAACTAACGAGCTAGTGTAGACATACCCAAACAGTCTGTCTACGTCTCTGGCCTCAGGGCCCCCCTACTCTGATAGAGACCCAGGCAGGCCAACGGCCTTCAGACTTCCCCAGCCGTGTCTGTGCCTGTCAGTCTGAAGAGCTTTTCAGCAACAGCTGCCCCCCTTTCCTCTGACAGACCTCCAACTCTGTCACAACAAGCTGGGTAACATGGCTGGAGCCTGGAAATGGGCTCTTCAAAACTTGTAACTCCGATGTGCTCTCTCAGCCTCCCTGAGGTGTTCACTGAGCAACGGTTTTTCTTGAGCTGCTGCTTCCCTTCCTGCTTCTTTTCCAGCCGCCTGCTCCTAAACTAAGAAGAGGCAGGCTGCTTTCACTCAATGTAGGGGTACGTCTACACTGCACAGCTATTTTGGGACCCCGGAGGTATCCAGAAATAGCTTCCCTGTGTCTACACAAGCCGCCCATTTTTACGAAATAACAGGTGCACTATTTCGGCATCCTGGTAACCCTCATTCCACAAAGGTTAAGGGATGTCTCAAAATAACCCGTTATTTCAAAATTTGGTGCTGTGTAGACGTGCCAAATTTCAAAATAAGCTATTTCGAAATAGATTCGAAATAAGATACCTAATTTGCATAGCGCAAATTGCGTATCTTATTTTGAGTTTAGGATGCTGCATAGACACACCCTAGCCTTCATATAAATACCCCCGATATTAACCCAATCTAGCTATATAGCAAAACATCCCATGAACTGGGTTTAATACGGGCATTTATAAAGGCAGCTCAGCTCCATGTCTGACACAGTGCCATTCCTGGGTGGGATGGATTGTAAGAATAGTATTGTATATCGATAGTTGGAGAGAGAGAACAGTAGGAAATGAAGTTCCATTTCCATGAGTTTGTGCAATTCACTCTTTGTTCAGTGCACAGTGGCATGACACCTGGTAACTTACGAGAAGCAGTTTCTAACACATTCAGAATCAGGAACACCAATGGGCTGCATTACTCATGCAAGACTGTCCAAAAAGTCAGGAGAGAACAGAATTACTGGTCTTTGCTTCAGGAGAGCAGTGGGGAGGTTCAGGAAAGGGGAGTGTAAAAGTGGCTGTATGCAATAATTGCCCATCACCCGTTGCATGAACAAGGCAGAAGTAATTTCCACATTCAAGTGGAGCATAGTGAAAACATGGTGTCAGCACGGTTCACCTGTTTGTGACATCAAGCCCTTCTCCACTTGGATATGTAACTGTGTTAGCTTGCAACTGCCAGATATCTATAGACCCTTGCATGGGCAGAGGAAGCAGGTCCTATGAAGATGAAGACAAGCCTGTAGGATGATCCACATCGCTAGATTCTGACATCATGAGCCAGGCAAAACATTTCAGCTTCCCCTGAAGAGATTCTTAGGGATCAGAGTGTATGATTGGGAGCATTTGGTAAAGGAAAGTGAATCAAGTGCAGTTCTGATTGAATTTACACATGCAAATCTGGAATGCTGCCATAGAAGTCAGTGGTATTGAATCAAGAACCTATCCCTAAGAATGTATCCCAGACACTGCAGAAAGACAGGAGCATAATTTTGATTCTCAGAAGTGAGAACATAGAAAAACCCATATCATAAGGCAAAGAAACATGCTTAGAAATAGCTTCAGTGCAGAGCAGATAAAAACGATGTGCATTTTCACCATACAGCTGCTCTTTGTGTCCACACGTCATGCAGAAGTGAAGAGCTAGGAAGGTGTCTGTGGGAAGGACACAACTGTCACAACGCACAGTGCTCACATAAGCAAAACTCCAGCCGTACGATATCAATGGGACCAGCTGTTTAGCAGGATTCAAAGAGGACCTGGATGTTTAAAAGGGTAACCAGTAAATTCAATGACAGAGGATTTAAAAAAAAAATGTGTTGGAAAAAGCTCTCATCTTTCCTTATTTACGCCACAAAATATGACTGCTTATTTGGTGTTGGGGGAATCTTTCCTGTGTCCCGGTTGTCTCATATCTGCCTAATGCAGGGCTTCCTCCTCCTTCCTCTCCAATATCTGATACTAGCCCCTGGAAAGTGAGCTGGATGGGCTACAGGTCTGATCCAGACCGGCAGCACCTATGTTCCTTTCGGTGGGGTAAAGCCTAGACTATATTTTTGTTGATCTTCTTTGAGCACCTGGGAATCTCTAGAATTGCACGAAAGGCAGAATGCTATCGACTTATGTATCATTAATCTACTCTTCTTTTTTGTCTTAGGAAGGAAAGTTCTGAACTCCTTAGATCTGCCCAGTACAATATGTCAGCTGGTAATGACACCAAATTCACACATGCAGTGTTTCTCCTCACTGGGATACTTGGCCATGAAGACACTCATCTCTGGGTCTCTATTCCCTTCTCCTTAATGTATTTTATTTCAGTATCAGGAAATTCCTTCATTCTGTTCATTATAAAAACAGACCCCAGCCTCCATGAGCCCATGTACATTTTCCTTTCCATGTTGGCTGTTGCAGACATTGGCTTATCGATAGCCACCGTGCCAACCACACTGGGCATATTCTTATTTAACTCCAGGGAGATCAGTCTCAATGCCTGTTTTGCCCAATTGTTCTTCATCCACTCCCTTCAATGCACTGAATCTTCTGTGCTCTTGTTGATGGCCTTTGACCGCTTCATTGCGATCTGTGATCCGCTGAGATACACTTCCATCTTAACGCTGATGAGAGTAGCCCAGATGGGACTGGTGTGTGTGGTAAGAGGGGTGGTTGTAATACTCCCACTCCCCCTTCTCCTGAAACGGTACCAATACTGTCGAGCCAACGTCCTCTCCCATTCCTACTGTATGCACCAGGACGTCATGAAAATGGCCTGTTCGGACATCAGTGTCAACAGCATCTATGGCTTGTTTACTACTCTCTTAACAGTCGGTTTGGACTCACTGCTCATCTGCCTCTCTTATGTGATGATTCTCAAAACAGCGCTGAGCGTCGCATCCCGCACGGAGACCCTCCGGGCCCTGAACACCTGCGTCTCCCACCTCTGCGCCGTCCTGCTCTTCTACACACCAATGCTCAGCCTGTCTGTGATACACAGATTTGGGAAGGGCTCTTCTCCCTTGCTCCAGATTCTCATGGCCTACGTCTACCTGCTGGTCCCACCTCTGATGAACCCGATCGTGTACAGCGTGAAAAGCAAACACCTTCGTGCGAGGATCATCAGGATGTTCACCAAGTGAAGGGTCTGTTCATCACCCAGATCCAGCGTGGGTGACACATGAAATAAAAATACATTCCATGGCCCCCTATTCCATACTCGATCTTTATATTTAGCACAACATGTGCTACCAATCTCCACTCAGTAGAGAGAAGTTCCCGAGTGCTCTAAGGTCTGCAGGAATTGAGGGTGGGGGGAAGCTGATGAGAAAAAATAGTTCACTGGGGGAAGAATACCAAGGCAGGGAGTAGGATTTACCAAGTGACTGTATTTGGGGTGAGCCATAGGACTACTCCATACAGAGCTATATCAGTGCCCGCACCAACCTCAGAATTCCTGTTGATCCAGAACATAACGAAGGGATGCTCCTGTTATTTCTCCTTCTCCATGTCCTGTCACTGTCCTGTCGTTGGTTAAATACCCATGGGCCATGAAAAAAACTGCTGTCACGTTACTGGAATTTGAGGGAAGCAGCCGGATCGTGGCTGCACCCATAGGTGGGGGTGCTGGCCCCAACAATGATATAGAAGGGGGCCATGTGGGGTATTGAATGGGAGCTTGTGTGCTGATCCTGTGTACGCTATTTATGTGAGTGTATAATGTCTGTGTGAGTAAATAGGAATCTGTAATCTGTGTGGAAGCTGAATATTTCTCGGAATGTGATTGAGCATTGCTATGGACAGGCTGAGTAGTGAAGCCCTGTGGAACAATGGCCCTTGATGGACCAGGGACACACCTAAAGCATGAGGGCGGAAACTCAAGAGCTGCCAGCAGAGAGAGGCTGAGGACCAGGTGACCAGCTGAGACCATAAGAGGCCAGGAAGGGGGTATAAAGAGGCCATGTGGTCGATGCCATTTTGTTCTCAGCTCAGCACTTCATCCCAGAGGCAGCATTGCAGGGATCGAAGAGCCCAGAAGACCTGTGAACCCATCCTGATGATAGGATGTGCAACAAGAACTTTTAAACCAGCAGCTGTAACATCTCTTCTAGAGCCTGCATCGAGGACTGGGAGATTCGGTGCATGTAATGTACTGTACTTTAATAACCTTACTCTCATGCTTTTCTTTATTGTAATAATAAACCTTTAGATATAGATGCTAAAGGATTGGCCCAGCGTGATTTGTGGGTAGGATCCAGAGGGTAAATTGACCAGGGATCTGAGGCTGGTTTCTTGGAACCAGACAGAACTTGTTCGGGATAGGTGGGATTGGGTGCTAGGACCCCCCACCTGTGTATGAGGCCCGGGGCCATTGGGGGCACGGATATTGCTGGGGTGTCGGAGGGGTTTTGCTCGGGAGGCTTCAGGCAGGCAGCTGAAGCGCTCTGTGGGACTGGTTTGTGGCCTGTTTGGAGAGGTCACCAGTCTGGGGGCTGTAAGGAGCCCCGGATTTGAGCAATTCGCCCTGAGCGGACGCCCTCAGTTGTGACCAGACACGGCCCGGCCTGTCACAACTGCCACGCTCCAACGCAGTCACACTGGGGGTCCTGACTGAGCATGCTGGGTGCTGGGTGGTCCGAATTGCACCAGGTATGAACAGGGGCTATTTGAGGGGCACAGACTCCTACTCTTCCCCTATGCCCTCAGCCAGGGCCGTGTGAGGAGGTTCTGTCAGAGACAGGAGTACCACAGGAGAGCCAGGGGGAACCAGTCAGGCATTCCCTCCCCCCGCACTGAGGCAGGTCAGTGCTGTGTGTACGAGCAAGTCTCTGGCACCCTGGAGTCCTGGGAAGAGACTTGCATCCTTATTCCCCCACCCTACTCTCCACTTGTGCTGCCCCAGCAACGCCAAGGGGTGGAAATGGGCCTCAACTCCCCCACAGAGGCACGTCTAGCTCCTCTCCCAGCCCAGCCCAGCCCAGTCAGTGTTGGGTGGCTCCCTTCTCCCAAAAGGAAAAGAGGGATCCATGCTGGAGCCCTGCCCCCTTTGTGGCCCCTCCCCTTCTTTTCCCACTGGAGTCCCTACCCTCTGCTCCTCTTCTTCCTCCAACGCTTCTCTCCCCCCCCCTCCTTCACCGAGCTCTCCCCCCTCTCCAGCCCAGGAGCTAGAGCCAGGCTGTGGTTAGAATTCTCCAGGGACCCATAGCCACAGAGAAGCACCCCAGAGCCTCCACATGCCCTTGCAAGGACACTGGGAGGGAGGGGCATGAAAAAAGCTCCCACCCTGTGTCCCTGCCCCTGAGGATGCATCTCTCAGGGAAGGTGGCGAGTTCAGGGCCACAGCAGCCTGAGTTCTCAGGGCAGCTCTTAAAGCAACCCAGCTCTGCCCTGGCCTGGGTCAGAACCTCAGGAGAAGTGGAGGAGCTGAGGGAAGGCCTAGTGGGAAGAGATGAGGCAAGTGTGAACCATTGCTGCAAAACACACACACCCCGGCAAGGAGATTGGTGGAGGGGTAGAGCAGAAGGGTGGAAGAGCCTCTGTTTTAGAGGAACCTGACAATATAGCCCCAGAAAGAGGGTTCATGTTTTATATATCGTCCACAGTCTACACTGTGGAGCTGTTTTGGGGTACGGAAGTATCCCAAAATAGCTACTCCGCGTCTATTGAAGCAGCCTGTTATTTCGAAATAGATGTTGAAATAATGGGTGCCTTATTCCGACATCCCGGTAAGCCACCCGGAATTTCAGAATATTCAATTATTTTGAAATTTGGTGCTGTCTAGACATTACCACATTATGAAATAAGGTATTTGGAAATAGCATCGAAATAAGCTACGCAAGTCACATAGCGCAAATTGCGTAGCTTATTTCGAGCTAAGGGTGCTGTGTAAATGCACCCTAAGAGAATTAGATTTGTTTATATTTACAGGAGATAATGCTGCCTCTTTCACTTCAAAATAAGACCAGGAGTTTGCATGGCACTTTTGTAGCTCACATTTCAAGGCGTTTACGTGTCAGAAACGCTAAATATTTGCATGCCCTTTGTGCTTTGGCCAGCTGACGATGTTAATTAAAAATGTAATGCATTAATTCAATTTATTTCCAAACTCCTTGCAGCAGAATTGTATGTTTCCTGCGGTTTTACCCACATTCGGCCATATATTTCATGTCAGAACAATCTCAGCTGATGACCCAGAACATGCTGTTTGTTTTAAGAATACTTTCACTGCACACTTGACAAAATGTAAGGAATGTACCAATATGAGACATCTAACGATAAGTATAGCATTCTATCCAACAGTTAGGAATCTGCTATTGACACCTGACTCAGATAAGGAAAATGAACATGCCTTGGTCTATGCTGTTTTGAATTGTTATCTAACAGAACCCACAATCAGCATGGATGCATGCCCATTGGAAAAGTGGTTGAATCCTGAGAGGACAAACAAATCATTTGCATATTTGGCATGTAAATATATTTTGTGATGCCAGTTATAAAAGTGTCACACCAATACCTGTTCTCACTTTCAGGTCACATTGTAAACAAGAAGCTGGCAGCATTATCTCCTACAAGTGTAAACAACCTAGTTTGTCTGAGCAATTGGCTACACAAGAAGTAGGACTGAGTGGACTTTGTAGGCACCAAACCTTTACACTGTTTTATTTTGGAATGGATATTAATATGTATATAATTTCCGTTTATTAATTTCCTTTTCCTGATAAAGAGATTGAACTATATTATTTGTACTAGGCAAATTGAAAAATGCTATTTCTTCTGTGATTTAAATTGCAAAACGTTTAAAATAAAAATAAATATGAAATGAACACTGCACAGTCCATATTCTGTGTTGTAAATGAAATCAATAGTTTTGGAAAATATTGAAAAAAATCCCTCAAATATGTAAATGAATCATTTTCTTTCATTCTTTAATAGCCTGATTCATCACAACAAATGATAAATCATAATTATAATCACTTGACAGACTCGTTTTTGTCCTTTCTCTGCAGTGAATTTTTAAAGCAAATGGACCATTTTTCTCTGAAAACTTAGTGGCCATGCTGCTGCCCAGCTTCAGCTGCCTGGATCTACAAAATTAATGGGAGGCTTTGCATCTGCCTCTTCCTTGTATCATAAATGAAGTTGGCTCGGATAATCTCTGGCTTCACTCTGGGTATGGAAAGGTCCAAATCTCCCTGACCAGTGTCTGGCTGGGGAATGGGACCCACCAAATACTCTCACCAGCCTTCCCATCTCTCTGCAGCCCCCTCTACTCTGTACAACCCCCTTTTGGAAGGTCCTATGGGCAGAGGTTGCTGGGACAGGGCCTGGTAGCACAGCTCTGATCAGCCTGTGCTAGCAGGGAGCGGGAGAGGGTGGCTGGGCCGAGCTACCAATGTATCACTGAGATCTGTGCCTAACTTTGGGGGTGCCTGGATCCTGGGTCCCCCTTTCCATTCCTCAGGGAGAAGGGAAAGGACCTTTCCTCCTGGTATAATCTGAGGGAGTTTTCCATGTAGGGAGCCTTGTAGAATCTCCCGTCTCTCTCTTGCACCCTGAGGTTGTAATGCAGGAAAGAAGGCTGCAGGGGAGAAATCCCTACAAGCTGCATGGAAACTTTGTAAAGACACCATAATAGAATCCCAACTTAAATGTATACCCCAAATTAAAAAACATAGCATGAGACCTAAAAAAGAGTCACCGTGGCTTAACCACCATGTAAAAGAAGCAGCAAGGGACAAAAAGTCATCTTGTAAGAAGTGGACGTCCAATCCTAGTGAAATAAATAGAAAGGAACATAAACACTGTCCAATCGCTTGATCATTGTCTTCGGTCCACCCTCTCTGGGGCACCTGGTGCTGGCCAATGTCGGCAGACAGGATTCTGGGCTAGATGGACCTTTGGTCTGACCCAGTACGGCCGTTCTTATGTTCTAAATCTGGTCCTATCTCCTGTCATGTCATGTCAACACGATGACAGCAGTGACAGCATCATTGTTAACACTCAGCAGCCCCCAGTTGGAAACCATACAAGCAATGGTGACAAGCCCAGATTACAGCCCAGAGCCTGCAGCAGGGCTGACACGGCAGCCCAATTAGCCAGGATCATGGTGCAGCCTCTGTGATTTGGCCTCCTGCACTGTGCCACTGTCTGCGACAGGAGTTCAGTTTATTGCACATGAAGCCAAGCAGCTGAGGTTCCCTGATGGCCAAGTGGCCCCAAGGGAAGGTACAAACATGCTGCATAAAGGCAGTTCCCTCCCTGTCTGAATACACACTGCCTGCTGCCCGTGCAACCTCTCCGATGACTCCTTGTGCTTCAGGGTGAAGACCTCTGGTGCCAGCGGCTCCCTTCTAGCAGGAACTGGGTACGTTGGCAGGTGTCACTGTCTGTAACATGCCAAGTGCAGGGCGAAGGCTGCAGGCTGTTTGCATTGGCAGCTGTTCTGTGCAGCGGCAGAGGACTCAGCTGGGCTGTTGGGGTGACTCAGCGACAGGGTTTGAGGGCAGTGCTGGGTAGCTTGGGAGCCCTCCTGCTCCACGTGGCCATGCGGTACGATGGGTTATTCAAGCTACACAGAACTCTGAGATTGTCATGAGCTTGGAGTGGGACTTCTCCAGGGGTCGCATTTCAAGATGACCCCGTGCTCAGCGCCTGACCCTGCCAGACAGTGAGTGAGAGGAGACCACCCAGAATATCAGTGCCTGGCTCCCAAATCGTCTCAGTGTTATTTGCTCCTGTCAATGTCTTTATCATTTTCATCCTCCAGGGCTGTATTCTCTGGCTGCATTGTGAAGGCAGGAATTCGGAGCGGCCTTGCTCTGTGATTACAAGTCTGATAGGACAGGCCCGTCCTTACCTAGATGCTGAATACGCTGCTGTGCAGGGCACCCCCAAATTGGGGTCTTAATGTTCACCCACCTGCCGCTTCTTATCCCTGGTCTGTGGCTCTGTTTCCTCTGGAGACGACCTAGGTAACCTGAAAGAGAAAAAGCCACCAGAGCTACTAACAGGACCACTGACCATGGGAAAGAGCCATTCAGGTGGTAGCGAAGCCATTTTGCAGTCATTGGTCGACCCCAGGTATATGCTATCAGTTTCTGAACTTACTTTGTCAGTCCACAGGACCTTAGTTTAAAATGGGCTTTAAAAATATTTCCTTAGGCTGTGTCCAGACTCAGGGGTTTTTTCGAAAAAAGTAGCCTTTTTTCAAAAAAACGTCCCCTGCGTCCAGACTCAAGCCGCGTTCTTTTGAAATTAATTCGAAAGAACGCAGCTTTTCTTTTGATGGCGGTAAACCTCAATTTACGAGGAAGAACGCCTTCTTTCGAAAGTTCCTCTTTCGAAAGAAGGCGTTCTTCAATGTAAATAGGGCTTCTTCAAAAGAGAGCATCCAGACTCACTGGAAGCTTTCTTTCGAAAAAGCAAGCCGCTTTTTCGAAATTTCTCTGTGCAGTCTAGACGCTCTCTTTCGAAAGAGGCTTGCAGTCTAGACATAGCCTTAGTGTGTTGCTGAAGATTGCAAAAATCACATTTCTAAAAAAATTATTATCCCCCCCAGCTGCCCTCGGGAATAGGGACACCAGTTTAATAATAGGGTTCCTAAAATCCTAAGGACAGCCCTGCAATAAGACATATTTTGGGTTTCCTTGTAGTCTGAAAGTACCAGAACTTCTGTCCTGTAGATACCCCTCAGCACTACAGGGCTACTGGCATCTCTGCCCGCTCTCTGGTCTTTAAGGGTATGCCTAGATTACACCTTTTTTTCCGGGATACAAGAGGTATCCTGGAAGAACTGTTCCATGTCCAGGGAATGTGTTTGCTCTTCTGCTTTTTTTGCGCAAGAGCAAACATGCTCTTTCAGAAACCCCTGTATGCTTCGTTCCATGAGGAATAAGGGGGCTTCTGAAAGATGGTTTTTTCCAACATTTGGCCCAGTCTAGATGGGCCAAATGTTGGAAAAGTCTCTTCCGACAAAAGAATCGGAAAAAGCTATGCAAAATGTGCTCCACACTACACTCCAGAGGAAGATCAAAGCTGCTGCTGTCGATCTTCCAGGGTTCGAATTAGCGGATCTAGTTAAGACAATTCAGACTGAGAGGTGCACTCCAGTCGATGCTGGTAGCCCTGCTTTCACGAGGAGTAAGGCAAGTCGAAGGGAGCGGGTGCCCCTTGGACTTCCTGCAGTGTGCAATGCTGTTACGCTGATTATTTTCAGGAATAACGGCATGGCGCAAGAGGGTTTTTCTTGCGCAAGAAGGGGCAGTGTAGACAGCTCCTTCTGGTGCAAGAGCATCTTCTGCAAAAATGACGGCTCATTAGGTATGTAAATGAGGCTCGGCAATATTCCGCGCTTAGCCTCATTTGCATACTTCTGGCGCAAGATCGCACCAGTGTAGACATAGCCCTAGTGCGGTTACCATGCAGTGGCACCTAGACCACAGCAACAATTAAGACCAAGAGACCTCTACAGCATGAGTTGGGAGCCAGTTGGCTTTTAGCTCAGAGGATGGAGGCTCCTATACTCTGCTTCAGAGGTTCTAGGTTCAAATCTGCCCAGTGGCGGTTACATTTGCAAAGGGTTTGTGGAACAGCAGGATAATATTGTCTCCTGGTCACTGACCAGAGGCTATGTGTGATGCATTCAGGGGTATGACAAAATACTTCTGCTGTACTGGAGCTAGACGTTCAGAAAGTCCTAAAACACAGGACCATTGTTCTGTCCTGCAGCAAAGAGTAGAGCTGAGGTGCAGGAAAGGGAAGTGTAATAGTGGCTGTGTATAATGTATGAGCATTGCCTCTTAAATGAGCATGGCTGAAGTATCTTACATACTTGACTAGATATTAGTGCAGATCTAGCGTTTGTACTATTCATCTATGCCTGAAACCAACCCTTCCCTGCCCAGAAGTGTTCAGTATAGGCTGAGCGCTTGAGTGGCCACCCAGGAAAGAGTCAAATGCTACCCAGTAGATTAGCAGAATGCCCAGAGTGGGCAGCATGTGTTTCTACTGGTGGTGCACTTTCATACATGAACTGGTGCATATAACAACATTTATTCCACATGTGGATGATCATCCAAATGAACTAACTCTTTTTTCCTTGTAACTTCCCAGATGTCTACAGACCCTTAAGGGGGAGAGGATGCAGGTCCTGTGAGGCTGTAGGATGATCGAACTCTCTGGAGCCAGTCAGCGCTGGCCAGGCAAAGCCCTTCAGCCTGTCTTGGAGGGATTCGCTGGGGTCAGAGTGTGTCACCGGGAGCATTTGGTAAGGAAAAATGGATAGAGCTTTGTTCTGATGCACCAGGTAAATCTGGTGTCACACAACTGAAAATATTGTAATTAAATTGGGCTGTGGAACTCCTAGCCACAAGATATCAATGGGGCCAAAAGTTTAGTAGGAATCCAAGAAGGACTGGATATTTATAAGGGTAACCAGGAAATCCAACTGCAGTAGGGAAGATTGTTCTAAAAAGTCCTTAAGTCCTCAAAGGGCTAAAAGCCTTCCTGAATTACACCACAAACTATGCTTAACCGGTGGGCTGCAGGACAAAACCTTCCATGGGAGGAGATTATTTCAATCTGTGGCATTTGGAACTGGATGCTGGGTGAGATGGACTGCAGGTTTGATCCAGTCTAGCAGTGCCAATCTTCCTATCAGTGATATAAATCCAAGACTATGTTTTGCTGAGTTCCTGGGATCTCTAGTTTTGCACTGAGAGGAAGAAGATGTCTCATTAAATATCATCTATTTTCTGCTATTTTTTTTCTTTCAGGAATTAAAGTTCATTAATCCTCAGACCTGCCCTGTACATGATGTCAGCTGTCAATGACACCAAACTCAGCTCAGCAGTGTTTTGTCTCACTGGGATACCTGGACATGAACACGTCCATCTCTGGGTCTCCATCCCCTTTTGCTTAATGTATATTATTTCAATAATAGGCAATTCAATCATTCTGTTCATTATAAAAACAGACCCAAGCCTGCATGAGCCCATGTACATTTTCCTTTCCATGTTGGCCATCACAGACCTTGGCTTATCGATATCCACCATGCCGACAATCCTGGGCATATTCTGGTTTAACGCTAGGGAGATCAGCTTCAGTGCCTGTTTTTCCCAGCTGTTCTTCATCCACTCACTTTCATTCATTGAATCCTCTGTCCTCCTGTTGATGGCCTTTGACCGCTTTGTCGCCATCCGTAACCCGCTGAGATACGCCTCCGTCTTAACCCTGCCGAGAATAGCCAAGATGGGATTGGTGTCCGTGCTAAGAGCGGTGGTCCTAATATTACCACTCCCCATTCTCCTGAAGCAGTTCCGATACTGTCAAAACAACGTCCTCTCCCACTCCTACTGCTTGCACCAGGAGGTCATGAAGATGGCTTGTTCGGATATCAGAGTCAACAGCATCTATGGCTTGTTCATAATAGTCTCCACGGTGGGGTTGGACTCCTTGCTTATCCTCCTCTCTTATGTGATGATCCTCAAAACAGTGCTGAGCATCGCGTCCCAAGCGGAGCGCCTCCGGGCCCTGAACACTTGCGTCTCCCACCTCTGCGCCGTCCTGCTCTTCTATACACCAATGATCGGCCTGTCTGTGATACACAGATTTGGGAATGACTCTTCTCACTCGCTTCAGATACTCATTGGCTATGTCTACCTGCTGGTCCCACCCCTGATGAACCCCATCGTGTACAGCGTGAAAAGCAAACACCTGCGCGCCAGGATCATCCGGGTGTTCGTCAAGTGAAGGTTCCATTCGTCACCTGGCTCCGGCAGTTTTGACACGAGGGACACATATTTCATGGTGGACCTGTACATCCAAACAGCAGGAGCTGCTGATCTCCACTCCATAGGAAGAGGTTCAGATGGGGGTCTAATATCTAGTGCAATGTCTTTCTCTACCCACTGGTGAACGGGCACAGGACACTGGGGGAAGGACAGCAAGTCAGCCAGAACCATTTAGAAAAGTGACTGTGTTCGTGGAGAGACAGGGAGCTGGAGGGACACTGGCTTTTAAAGAACCACATTGGTGGCTGCTCTGACCTCAGAATTCCTGTCAGTACAGTCAATACAGAGAAGAGAGGTGGCTGTTGTTTCCCATGACCCCAGGCCTGTCACTGTCCTGTCGCTGCTTAAACACCAAGGGACCATGAAAAAAGCTGCAGGGCTGTTCTGCAGTCACAGTCCTGGCCCTTCCTGACCACTCAGGGTGCTGCGTGATCCATGGGCTGTGCCAGCTGTGGCCAGCGGCTATCAGAGAGGCACAGACACCTGCCCTCAGCCAGGTACTTGTGACTGAGTCGTATCAGAAAGAGGATTAATGCAGGAGCCTCAGGAGAAGCCAGTCAGACAGTCCCGTTGATGCCACACACCTGCTGGGTCCACTCCCCACTGAGGTGGAGCAGAGCTGTGTGTATGAGGGAGGGTCTGACACACAGGAATGGGCAACTGATTCAGCCCCCCCCCCCATTCCCCACTAGGGGTCCCATCCATTTCTGCTGCCCCGGCAACGCAAAGGGATGGAAATGGGCCTTAGCTCCCCCACTGAGGCACAGCCAGCTCCTTTCCCAACCCATCCCGGGTAGGGTCCTAAACCTAATGTCCAACCCATACTGCCTTTTCTGCAGTTCACCCCCATTGCTTCAGAGGTGTCAGAGAAAAAAATTTCCCTCCTCCTCGTCACCACGTTTTATATATTTGTTTGGGAACAACAGGAGGCATTTGGAGCAGAGCATGGGTCCCACCCCTTTTTATTTGGAATGTGCAGGGCCTTGTTTATCTAGTTGTGTGCATGCCTGAACCAGGCGAAGGACACCCTGCAAGCTGTGCCTGAGGTACCTGGTGACCCTGTCATGGTTAAGTCCAGCTGTCTGTGGTGTAACCCTGCTCCTTACCATCAGAGGCTCAGTAGCCGAGGGCAGTGTGACTACAAATGTCCACTAACTAACCCTCCGTGCTTTTGTTTGTGGGTGCTCGGCTCCAGCTCCTGGGATTTTATTGGGAGTCTCGCACTATTTCCTCTCTCTGAAAGTCCCAACTTCTGGGATCCTGACCTTGTGTGGAATCTCAGTGTTCAATTTTGTTTAAAAGAGCTTATTTTTAAAAATGAGTTGCAGAAAAATTAGACATAGGTGACCCCAAAGGCTCAGACATGGCCAAAGCAACGTGAAAACGAACCACACATTAGTAAATTTTAAAATCTCATCGTTTTAAACCAATCTTATGACTTTTTGAAGGGGGGAGTGACTCATATTTGTTTAATTTGGCTGGGCAGCAGTTAGCACCTAGTTCAATGATATTCTCTAGTTCAGCCACAAGGTGCAGGATTCAACACTAGAATTGCTGAGGGAAATTCTCTGGTCTGTGCTTTGCAGATACATGACAGCAGTTTACCTCTCTGGCCCCAATAGCTATGGCTACAGGTCCCCAATGTCAAGTTAAGGAAGTATGGAATGGATAAACGGTCTTTAAGGTGGATAGAAAGCTGGCTAGATTGTTTGGCCCAATGAGTAGTGATCAACAGCTCGATGTCAGGTTGGCGATCGGTTTCAAGTGAAGTCTCCCAAGGATTGGTTCTAGGGCCAGTTTTGTTCAACATCTTTATTAATGACCTGGATGAGGGGATGGATTGCACCCTCAGCAAGTTTGCGGATGACACTAAACTAGGGGGAGAGATAAGTACATTGGAGGCAGAGATAGGGTCCAGCGTGACCTAGACAGATTTGAAGATTGGGCCAAAAAAATCTGATGAGGTTCAACAAGGACAAGTTTAGAGCCCTGCACTTGGGACGGAAGAATCCCAAACATTGTTACAGGCTGGGGACCGACTGGCTAAGTAGCAGTTCTGCAGAAAAGGACCTGGGGATTACAGTGGATGAGAAGCTGGTTATGAGTCAACAATGTGCCCTTGTATCCAAGAAGGCGAATGGCATATTAGGTTGCATTAAGAGGAGCATTGCCAGCAGATCTAGAGAAGTGATTATTCCCCTTTATTCAGCACGGGTGAGGCCACATCTGGAGTATTGTGTCCAGTTCTGGGCCCCCCACTATAGAAAGGATGTGGATGCATTGGAGAGGGTCCAGCGGAGGGCAACCAAAATGATTAGGGGGCTGGAGCACATGACCTATGAGGAGAGGCTGAGGGTTTTGGGTTTATTTAGTCTGCAGAAGAGAAGAGTGAGGGGGGATTTGATAGCAGCCTTCAACTTCCTGAAGGGAGGTTCCAAAGATGATGGAGAGACGCTGTTTCTCAGTAGGGACGGATGGCAGAACAAGGAGCAATGGTCTCAAGTTTCAGTGGGAGAGGTCTAGGTTGGATATTAGGAAAAACTATTTCCCTAGGAGGGTGGGGAAGCACTGGGATGGGTTCCCTAGGGAGGGGGTGGAATCTCCTTCCCTAGAGGTTTTTAAGTCTTGGCTTGACAAAACCCTGGCTGGGATGATTTAGTTGGGATTGGTCCTGCTTTGGGCGAGGAGTTGGACTCCATGATCTCCTGAGGTCCCTTCCAGCCCTAGGATTCTATGATCCTAATGTCCGACATGTCCCCGGATGACTGGACAATGGAAAACATTTTCCTTGGCCCCTAAGTCTCAGATTTCCCCTTTGTAATAAATCCCATATTTTCCTTGACAGTGACACGCCAGACTTCAATGTACCAATCCCCCAACGAGTTCTTGCAAGCTATAAGCCAGTCACCGGATGTTCCCATGTGAGTGCTGACAGCCACTGGGACTGGGGAATAAGGGACTGGTTCTCATAACCATCAACATTTTTATTCCTGGGTTATGTAAAGGTGGGTGGACAATAGAAACATGCCCCACCCTTGTCAGCTCCCACCAATAGCAATGTCAACACTTCCGCCATCACCTTGATTGGAATCCCCGGGCTGGCTTTCCTTCTCGGCACATTGCAGCTGTTCGCCATGCTGGTTGTGATTCGCTGAGTGACGGCCCTATCAAAAATCTGAGTAAATAAATCGTGTGCCCCTGTGTTCAGCATTTTTACATGGAAGTTTGATCTTTGATACTGAACTGCCTTTGAGGGACAGCCCAGGGTGAATGACTCCTTTTTGATCACATGGCACTGCAAGGGGAAAAGAAGGGGGAAGATTTTATTTTTCCAAGGGAAGGACAATGATGGAAAAGCAGACCCACCTAGGGAATTCCCAGCTGTGTCCTTTCACAGCCCCCATCACTGTGTTGCCTGATTGCCAGGGGAGACGGCACTGTCACCCCATTGGGCTAGGAGTGGACACTGGTGATGAGGATGTGAGTGATTTGAAGATTGTTTTTCTCAAACCTGATAATCATAGAGAGACTGATCATCGGGATGTAGAACATCAAGACAAATCAGATATGGGAGTGTCATGGGGCGGTCCTCTCTTCTCTTTCCCAAGGGGTAGGATCCTGTGTCCCTGGGCTGTCTGAGTCTGTGACCCACCCCGCACGACCAGTAAAACACCTGTGGGTAGGCCCCTCTCCTCGGGGCCTGATAGCCTAATGGCCAGAGTCAATGCATGGCTCTTTGAAGCAGAGTAGGAAGGCCTACTAAGGCAAAGTCAGTACATCAGAGTCAGAGCCTGGCCCTTTAACATCGGGCTATTGGACAGCCCAATAGCCAGAGTCAGTGCCTTAAAGTCCAGGGCTGGACCTTTAACACCAGGCTGGTCGGCACACTGGCCCAATTCAGGCAATCAAAGTCAAAGGCTGGCCCTTTAAGGCAGGGCTTGATGGCCCAATGGCTGGAGTCAGTAAGGGTGTGACTAGAATACATGAACAAAAGGAAAAACTAACACGGCTACCTCTCTATTAATAATCATAGAAGACTTTGATCCCTGAGGGTGTGTCTAGACTGCAGCCGCGTTCTTTTGAAACTAAATCGAAAGAACGTGGCAGTTTTTTCAACCGCGGAAAACCTCATTTTACGAGGAAGAATACCTTTTTCCGAAAGTGCTCTTTCAAAAAAAGGCGCTATGTAATGCAAATTGTGCTTTTGGATGCTCTCTTTCGAAAAAGCGGCTTGCTTTTTCGAAAGTGCTGGTTGTAGTCTAGATGCTCTTTTTCGAAAGAGGCTTTTTTGAAAGTATCTTTCGAAAAAGCCTCTTTCGAAAGAGGCTTGCAGTCTAGACGTAGCCTAAGTTAAAGTCAAAGCCTGGCCCTTTAAGGTGGGGCTAGACCAAGGTCATGGGGGAGGGGCTGGGTCCCAACTGGGTCCCAACCCAGGGCCTGGTGAGTGTCAGAACGGTCCACCACCCCTTCGGCGGGGAATCCAACTGCAACACGCTGAGAATCTCGGGGTGGGAGAGGACGCTCCTGCACCCTCCCTGGGCCAGTTCCTACCAGATCCGCCGGGTCGGCGTCCCATGTAGCAGCTGGGTCCTCTGGCTTCTCGGGGGCCACGTATCCCTGGGAATCTGCGGGGGTTGCGACTCAGCTGTCATCGAGGCCTCAGCCTCTCTTGACTCGGATGGCTAGCAGCTGCTGCTCAGGAGTTACAAACAGATGTCCTTCTCCTCCAACCACCAGTCCATACTGAGCCTCTCCCCTGGCTTTTATACCTGGGCTGGAGTCAGAGCATGACCGGATTGCCTGACTAAATGCTGCTCGTTCAGTGCAGGGTTGGTACAGCCCGCCACCAGGAGATACCAGTGTTCAGATGTTCTTCCTTTGAGGCAATACTCAATACAGTCCTAAGGGTCATAACATAAGACAAGTAACAATGAGTCCAGAACCACCGAGGAAAGAACA